TAAGGGAGATAATGATTGATAGACAGGGCATAACTCAAGAGTGGTAAACCGTATAACAATAGTTCATAGGTTAAAAAAAAGCTTATAATAAGACGGACACGAATATTATTAGTTTAGTTATTTAACAATTATACGATAAAAATATACACATAGTATTGTTCCATAAATAGTTCCCAAAAGGTACTACCATTCATAATTCTTTCCGCGACATAAAAAATACTTTATGAAATGTCATTCGAACACATGAAAACCAATCAACAATATTAAGTTATGCAATAACAAGTACACCATCCAATTAAATCAGACTTATATTTTACAGATTGGTGTAATATATCAAGCTTGAGACAATAGAAACTGCACATCCAGATACTACTTATCTGTCGTGGTGGCTGACATAAAATTGGAGCGGGGAAGTTATTAAAGTCGATTGTGTCAAAGCTTGCAGACACTTCGAGAAGTTATTCAACGGTTGTCTATGCCGTACAGATAATTGGTGACTCCTTAGTTACGATCCACTCAGAGATTGCAATTTTTGATAGAAGACCATATATGACAACTGAAAACCAGTTCCATTAACTAACTTTCTTTAAATCTCTAGTGTTTATATTACAACACATTACTCACAATTATAATCGAAATGATAAGGTCAATACCACTGAATAAAATACAATATATGAATCATCAAAATGATCAGAAAATACGAAAATTATACAAGGTTAGAGGTCAACACACATAAGTAAGAAATTATGATATAATTTTTCTTGGAATTATGTAAATGAATGTCATTGTGAATATAAATAAAATGACATGTTATGATATCTATGTCGAGCATAACAAATTATAATGCACTCAGAAATATCCTTGAAGTTTAAGAAAAACAAAAACAGAGAATGTGAAAGTTTTTAAGGAACTAGGGCTCAAACGTTAAAAAAGAACTTAAAGCCTATTTAATGTAGACGCAGAATTAGCTTGGAATTTAAGAGAGTTAGAGCTTGAGTAGTGGTAAGCAGACAAGTGCATATACCTATGGATAGACATTGTTTACTTTTATAAATGATATCAAACAATTTATATAAATTGTGTCCTGAGATTATTCCATAGTTTTTCATTTTCATGTACTAATTCAAATCACTGTCGTCAGGGAATACTTCTGGATAAATAAATTTTACTGCTATCAGCTAAAATGTTTGTGAAAATATTCGAACTCATTATATTCTATAGTAGCAACTCTTGCTTTTTTTAATTTCCGAAAAAGTAAAAATTACTTGTGACTTCCATATTAGTGTGATTGGTAGAACTACACTCACATATAAACCGGTTTGAATTTCGTGATAAATGGATGCGATAAGTCATATCATTCAAGACCCTATCCAACTAGTCTTGTATTCACAGTTCGACGCTATTATGTAATAGGAACTGCGTAAAATAAAAACAGTTCGTAAGAGAAATTTTTATTGACGATTTTATTTTCTCAAGTTGTGCAATCGTATCTACAGCTATTTTACACATAGTAATATACAATACAATTTAAAATTGTTGAGTCATTAGCACAGGTACCAAGAGTTAATCAAAAAATTTTTGTAAGACTAATAAGAATGAAAAGAACATAGAAAAGAGGTGTGAAAGGTAAGTGTTCACTTAGTGAATATATGGAAAAAAAAGGCGAATAGATATCAAAACCAATTAAAATAAGATGTTAGGATCATTGCTAAATAAGGGAATAAATATATCACTTTTGATCACAAAGAACAACCTAAAATTAACGAACTGTCAAACCCTCTCCTATACACAGATTTTTCAATCGAATGCCCTTAGAACCACTTCGTTTGACTTTATGAATTATTTTGAATGGAAACATTTTAAAAATAGAACTATTGACTGGTTCGCATTCACCTTTCGATAACCGTGCTCGGTAGTGTTCAGATATGCTTTTGGAAAGACAGCACATTTTGGAGTTGATAACATATTCCACACGAGCAAATAAACTGACAGATACACACTGAGGTGACCCAAAGCGACGGTTTATCCTTGAATTAGTTACTTAATGGCAGGATACAATCCGCAGTCCAGTTGAATCGAGTATCTCACTCAATAATGATTTCGTAAGATCACTGCAACTATACTCTCCCCCTTTAAGTGCAATATACAAGAACAAGATCTTCTTCATTACCATTTATTCTTTTTATTTGGGGCTCTCGTTTCAGTTTTTTTGCGAATGAATCTGACAGATAATTTGATTTTTATTAGTTCTTCGATTCTGTTTAGTTCTTTGGTAAGTGTGCATTCTGTGAGAACTCTTCTGAGTCTCGATAATACAGAATGCATTAGGTTTATCTTTCTGCCTAGTGTAACCCAAATCTAGAAGTTCGTATGCCATCGTATCATGTTGTTTTTCTATACATTGGTCTTTGCAGAGACAAATCCGGTCTTCTCATAAAAGCATCGAGGAAGTGAAATTCTGTGCTCAACTCTGACTCCATTGTGAGTGTAACTTTCTGGTGATACATATAGAATTCTGTTGAGATCCCAACTCTTATTACAGATAATGAAGGTATCAACCATATATCTCTTGTAGAAATAAAAGTCGCCAACTGTTGCTCGAAAAACGATGTTTTCCAGATTAACCATTAAGCCTTCTGCTAAGACAAGACCCGATGGCGACCCTACTGCAACACCGATTTGTCTATATAGCTAATCATTAAATCTGAATTTTACATTCCTAGTGTAGTGTAACAGTAATTACTTTAGATATTATTTTGGAATCCCAATAATATCATTTTCAATCTATTCGCAGAGAACAAATTGTCCCTGTGTAAGAGGAGTATTTGTGAAAAGTGAGGCAACATTTAATGAATTCATTCTTTTTCCAAGTACGTTAGTATATATGACAGTAAAAGAATTGCTGGCGCTATGTTTCTTGATCTGACTTTTAGCTATTTAAAGAATTTGCACAATTCAGATGACAGTTGCATGGTATAGGGAGTTATTTGTATTCATCATAGAACAAAGGGAAACATTTTTCTTGCGTACTTTTGGCAGTCCATACAGACGTAAAATAGTAGAACCGGACGGTATTAGATGTTTGAATAAATCATCGATGATGATCAATTAAACTTTATTGGGATTTTTTCCACATTTGTTCTATTCGGTAAGTTACATCCTTTTTTATCGTTTCCTTAGAAAACTTGCTTACATCCATTATTATGACCTATATATATATATATATATATAGGTGTATGTACATAGGTCGTTCGATGCGTACTTTATCCAAAAGAATTCAAGAACATTATCTGGCGTGGTCAAGAAGAGGAGGAAATGGTTCAATAAGAAGTTCAATAATCGAACACTCTGTGAGCATAGGTCACTCAATCAAGACAGACTTTGCGTTCAAAGTCATCTACAAGGAAAGTAGAAGTCTTCCGAAGACAATTATATTGCATCTTCTTAGCATTGACGAAGCAATAGCTATACATCTGGGAAAACCACAATTGTGTGTATTCTACCATAGTCTTAGTGTCCCATAAGAACTTTTCTTCATACTTATTTTCCTTTATGGCCATCTGCTTCACCTTCCATCTGCCCCTTACACCTTCTACTCTCAACTGGTTTATTTCTGTTTCTACGATCCTCCTGATTACATTTAATCTCAATTTCAACATTTTATCTCATCATGCTGAGCCATCCTTTCCTAATGATAATTTCCTTATCTATATTTTGATGAATATTTAAGCTACTAACAATCAAACGATTATTAAATTTTCCTTGTTTTTAAAAAGATTTTTTTAAAAATACCTTTGTTTATTTTACCTCACTGTCACAATGTCTAACAGAAGTTTATTATCAGTATTGTTGTAATTATTATCATCCTGAAAAAATAAGTATATATATATACGGTTGTACAGCTTTGAAAATGAATTCGCCGGAAAGAGAACCGTTCACTGAACTAATCTTTCTTATTTAATATGTTACTTTCCAGGGATATTTGAGTGTTTGATTCTGTCTGTTTTAGACACTTGATAACAGCATCCCTTCATAGTAGTATGAGCACAATGTTAGGCTTTATCTCCTTTGTCTTTAGATAAGTTGTTAAGTTCGGATGCATGATCAACCTTTCATCAACCTCGTCACTAGTTAATACGTTTGTGTTCTAAGCTAAGATTCCACAACACTTACTTCTACACGGTGGATGAAACTATTGCTATTGTATTCTTTTCTGCCCCACTAACTGGAGTAAGATGTCCTGTTACTGTATAGAAGCTTTATTGGTCAAAACCCAGTAGAATTCAAAATAAATCTAAAGCAATCAGTTATATAATGGTCACCATGACTATAGTTTCGGAATTGAGTAGTTGTCAATGTATGTGAATCATAGTGGAAATTGCAATGGAAAGTCTATCAACAGAATTCAAACTGAATAAATTAACGTAACTGAAATTCATATTAGATTAATATTAATTTTATTCTTTCTAAGTTGCATTTAGGAATTTTAGATCCATAACAGATTCCCACACATATAACTGTGATACGTTGAAAATAATAACCGCTTACAATTATCTTCTAAATTTAACATTTTCATGTAGACAGATGCAGCGATTGTACTAAATTTCACGACAACAAGAATTATTATTTTGAGGACTGAAATTTTCAAAGCGCCTGTTTTTTCTGCAAAAAAACCGTGATTTGATTTTTTTCATCATGAAAAACAAACAATTCGACTTCAATGTAAACTACATGACATGGTAAGGGACTAAATCAATGAACTAGAATGAGCTAACAGTTTCTGATTTCTTGTTCTAAATATTCCAGAGAAAAAAACAATTATGAAATGCATTTTACCGTGTCTCTATTAATTTCCGAGATAAAAAAAGTAATTCCTTTATACATAGTTAAATAAAATCGTTTACTAAAAATCCTAGTCCATGAATTGATGCTAGTCAGAACAAGCTACTTAATATTAATTAGTAGCCATACAATTCATCCTGAGCAAAAAATCCCTTCCGTTAACTATGACTTGCAAGTACGTCATTGAAGTAGATCACATTGGTCTGGATTTCTTTACATCCGACTGAATTACCGCATACTTTACAAGTGACTGGGTGGTATTCTTTCGTGACATTCCGGTTTGATTCCAAACTGTTTTCTGAAGATTTTTTCGCATTATGTGGTTTTGATATCGTTCGAGTTATGATTTGTGTTTCGTCCAAAAGACAATTGATAGGGTGTTCTGTATAATATTGGGTCTTGAAATGGGGGTGTCTGAAACATAAAAAAACCACATATAATTTAAAACTCCCTTTCTCCTACATGTTGCTAATCACGAACAAAATATGTAAAGTGTTATATCCCAGTGAAGACATAAGTACAGGTAACTTCCGGGACCTATTAATAGACTATTATTCTATATATATTCTTATTGTTTAACTATTGAGTGATTAGATTATGTATATCTACATTCATCTTATTATAAGCTTCATTTTGACCTATGAATTATTATCATACGGTTTACTGCCCCTGATTTATATCCAGTTTATTGATTATTGTCTCCCACGTTCACAGCCACATTTTGGCTTGATCTCATACAAATATTATTTTCTATTTCATGGCGTGATGCGGTCTGTCTGTCTGGTATATAAACTAAATACGCTTGAAATAAATGATTCGCATAGCAGAAGCTGTAATTGGTGTTCTGGACTCAATTGGAAGGGCTAGACGGACAAGGGATCAATAAGGACGCTAGACTGCTCATACTGGTCGAACGTCATTGATTTGGCAAAGTGTTAAGATTGGAAACGTCGTATTTCGATCGGTAGATAATTCACGTGATAAAAAGCCGGACATAAAGTCATAACATAAAGTATTAATATAAAAGGACTCATCACGCTTTAATATTATCCTAGTATGTCATGTTATAATGAGATATGTCTAATCATATTCCTTACCATACTGATGCGATTTAAATTGCTTAATTCACTTAGCCTACCATGCAAATGTAAGGGGACTAAAAAGTTACAAATTAGAGGTACCCAAAGATTAATTACTATGGTCCAAATCATCGTGAAAATGATTGACAAAGAAAATGTGAAGGAATGAATGTGACTATTAATGAAGGGAATACTATATACAAAGTTGCGCTTTTTAGCAAATACAATAATGATTATGTTCTGAAAATAGTCGTTCAAAAACACACAAAGGATTTATGCTTTCCCATTGATTATTTAAAGTCATAACGAAACATGCGGTATTACCCGAGCTAGAAATGTATTTAGATAGCTAAAATCCTATATTCTGTACGCACAATTTCTAGTTAGGGTCTAATAATACCGTGGGTGCCTACATATCTAAAATCAGGACCATACATCCACCTATACATGTATATCGTGGCTTAATCACACGAGGTTTAAAGCAGATTCTAATTATTCCCAGTCGTTACAAGATATCTAATAGCACAGAACCATACAACATATTTAGTCTAAAATAAAGCCCAAACTTACCTGTGACTAACGAGAGATAACACAGACATACATCCAGGACAGTTAAGGATGGCATCAGATTTCTTGCTCTTCCCGCCAGGGAGATTTTCTTGCACCCATTTAGCATTAGCCTCATCTTCCTCGTAATCGCAAAGTGGATCTTTATCTACTGGAAAGTCACCTTTATGTAATGAAAACAAATCATTATTAGGCAGTAAAACACACCATCATCATCATGATCCTTTTTAAATCTCACTCTGAGATTTTCATTTTGCTTTCTTTCTGTTTTCGAATCCGTTGCTTTTTGGTGGGCACTTCTAATCAGTAAATCAAGTTCTTTGTTCATTAATTCATCAAACTCCATAGCTTTAGCTTTAGAGATCTCGACCGCGTTGACACTTCTGTGGTCATAACACGAATCACTTCAAAGAAAGAAATAACACAAACAACAATTGATGGTCATAAATTACCTGGATGAACTACTATCGGACTCACAACCATCATAATCTGAGGAGAACATTTGTCTGCAATAAAAGGAAATGACAAATAAATAAAGTGGTAAATACGGTCAGATACCAATCGAAACTTGACACTTAAAACAACTTTAAGTAATCTGAAGTATTGTGTGGGCGAAGACATGAAATAGAATGTCACTTTCTAAACTAATCGTTAGAGATAGGTACAACTACTGACGCAAATCCAAGTACACTAATCAAACAAACTTTTCACTGTAGGCATCAATGCCAAGGTTGGATTTGACGGTTTCAAATAAATTGATCACTGGATAGAAAGTTAACAGAAAAACAACTCTCGTTATATCCCAATGAGTAAAAAATTGTATTTCTGACTTTTCTTGACTTGATGTAAACCGCTTCTTCAGAGTAGATAAATAACAGAACTAAATTAACACAAGTTTAAATAGTACAAGGGAAACAATGCGGAATATTTTTAGTGCAATCAAAATCATAATAGGTCTGAATATGTCAATAAACTTCTCACAACATACCTATCCAGTACAATGTAGTAATATAGTAGGATGCATTCTCACATTTGAATTAGCCGAAACGTTGAACCTAATGCAATCGACTCACAAGTTTTTACTACAAATTGCAACACATGGATTTCAGGCCTTATCTTTCTAGGCCATATATTACACTCATACACTTGCCAATACTCATAGAGACTATACCGTTATTGTATGAGTAGTTAGATTTCCAGCTTACTAAGATAAATTATTTATAAAGCTGATTTCGCATTTCCCGCAAAATTCAGATTTGACTGTGGAACATAATGCTTAAGATGTTTCTGATCAGCGTGTTGCATTATCCTTAATCAAATATTTTCATGATAGATGGATTCAGTGTATTTTTGTACCATATAGCTTTTACGTCATATCAACTAAACAAACAAATTCTGCAACATCATTAAAATGGTATTCAAGTGACATAATGGATAATGATATTAAAATAACTCACCAAACCGTCTCACAGTTTTGTATAGAAAATCAAACTGGACACCGTTATACCCAAAAAAGTTATTAACCAATTTATTTGATCTCATATGAGCATCCAAGGCAATGCAATAAAAGTTAGGCATATTTAACTACTTAAATATGTTCCACTGTAAAACAGCAGTATATACTTTTGTTACGAACGAATCAACTAAACAAACAAGTCATCCTAAAAAATATCTAAAGATGAAAGATTTTGAGTACGTTCTGTTGTTTCAGTTACCTAAATTAGATTCACAGATCTACAAAGATAAAACTACTTGATTATTGACATAATAAACAGAATGAGTAATAACTCAGTTTTTGTCGAGGAACTTATATGTAGTTGTTATAGCCGTAAGTACCCTAGTATTTTTACATTTAGATGAATTATGATTAATAACATCTTTAATGCCTTCTAATAAATAACAAGGAGAGAGTTAGACCAACATACTTATTTTTTAGAATACTTTGTTGCGTAAACTAAACCGAATAAAGGCGCCATTAATACTCAGCCAACTCTCCGCACACACATGAAACTGAAGTATAAAATTTGTGGCGAGACTAAAGAACATGGACGAGCCAATCAGAAGCTTTCGCGGGTTTTCAAGGTCACAGCGCTAAGTTCGGTACCTGACGCTTACGTACGGTCAATTTACAAAGGATTTTAGAGAAAACATGATAATTAAGTGTCTACAAGATATGTTACCATAAGATTTTGGCGCAAAATTCAATTATATATTTGGATTGAGTTGTGGCATTATAGCTGATGTCAGTTCGTTATGAAAACCCTAAGTAAAATTCATAACCTTAACCATGGACTGTAAATCATAATTTGAAATCTTCACACGGGTTTATAACCCTCATTTAGTCTTAGTTATTACGTTGACACTCTCAGATTCACTCTAGCGTCGCTCAAATGTCGTCCATTATTTATGGTCTCATCTTTAACCCTAAACCGTAACCCTAAACCTTAACTCTAATCCTAAACCCTAAACCATACTAACAACCGACAACACTGAAACTATGTGATCGAGGCTGAAAGAATTTTCGGGACTTTATCATGGTTCCAGATGTCGACTACTATGGAGCCACAGGGATGAGTTCCTGTGCCGGATGCACTATGATTTTAGAACTTCTGAACCTATATCTGACCTTGATAAGTTTTTGATGCATGTAAAAGAACAGTATCCCCTTTAATTTTTGAGTTTTGCATAATATATTTTAATTGTATGCTAACTGTCTTCTGATTGGCCAATATTTCTCAAGGTCATTTAAGATTCGTTCAAAGGTCGTCCATGTTCTTTAGTCTCGCCAAATTTGTCGGGATGCACCTAACCACAGCCATTGATTAAAATCAATAGGGTCGCACAAGAAAAAAATGAAGTTACAGATGTCGTTCCAGCAGAATTTAAGAACATGAATAGTACGTTCAGGTTAACATCGCTAAACGCACTTTCTGATACACACAGCCTGTTGAGTTTCAGAGAACACGAGTATTTACAGATTGAATGGTTACTCAGAAGGGGAAAATAAAAATGTCGAAAGAATTCAGATTATTACTCCAAACTTTGATTTACAAAGGTAACGAAATGTCTTCGACTTGACTAATTCTTAAAATGATGGTAAAAGGAAAAGATATAAATAAGTTCGAAAAATATATAGAATTTCAACTTAATTTACGAATTTTCAACGAAAGGCTCTTGAAGTTTAGAAGCAAGGTACTATCTCTCCCGTTTTTCGTCGTCATGGCTACTAAACATCCTCCTATCTTAACCGTGTTATTATTCCCAATCCCTAATACTAGCTTATGATACCTTTTGGTCTAATATCTAACCCCTAATACTTTCGACTATATCTAATTAGATATGATCGAATTATGATAATAACTCACCAAACGTGTTGAACCTATTGGTACACTGCAACTACTCAACCTTCTTTGTTTAAATTGCTGCTTTAACTAAATGAGTTTTTAATGGGCTAAAAAAATTTATGGTTGGTGCCATAATATGCTTTAACGGTGGGTAATAATTCTGCACCGTCCACAGCCATTCCTGAGTGGGAGAATGTCACAGGCAGAAATTTATAAAATAAATGTGATTTGGCATCTCAAAGACAATCCAGTATGTTTTATAAAGAGCTATAAAACACGTTACTTACCAACACTGCTTGTAAGATGAAAGTTCAGTTTAAAGTGCGCAGTATTAAAAGTCGCAAACTATAAGTATGTAGTTATAAAAGTAAACGGTTTTATTTGATCGCAACTCAGAAACAACAAAATCAAGGATAGCAACATGAACGAGGAAAACCAATGAACAAGTCTAACAACAGTAACGCAGCCTACAAATGTTGCGCTGTTATATATCTACATCTCATAGTTTTATATACGACAAGACAATCAAATTGTCTTTTATCTTACTAAAACGTCGATGTGACCACATATGCCCTTGAGAATTTTAAGAACGAAATACATTAAAATATATATTTCAGACGACAATATAGCCAAGGATCCGTTCAGAAAGAAGACACGGATCTTCAGCAAGAACTGTATTTGACAACCCTAAAATCAAATATCAAACAGATGGGAACACTTCAGAAAATTCTGTTATGTGACATAACTGCAATAAGAGGTCGTCCAATCTATCCGAAAAATTATTTTCTCCAATACACTGTAAAAACTGTCCTGCCCAGCTGTTTGATTAAACATCAAACTCTTATCAGAACGATTTTGGTGGCCTTGTACGAATGAACGAATGGGGAAATGGACATGTTTCTGTGTTAGCTGCCAAATATCTAGGATGAAATGACATAATAAACGTCTTTTGTTAGACCTCCAGAAGCTTGCTTCAACCACGCCCGCCTTGATTCGGTTGTACCCTTGCCAGAATCAAACTAATACTCTTATATGTGGACGTATGTGCAAGATATATGAAAGAAGTTATTTCCTAATCAGTGACCTGTGCCTTTATCAAACGACAATTTTCAAACTACGGTAACCCTACGGTCATTACTACAGACCGCCGACGCTAGTTCTGAACTAAATTGTTCGCTTATTCACTAAGTTCTTCGGTATCAAACGATTTGGAATGACTTTGACTCAACTACAGGCTAGTATTTTGGTATAATGACTTCATCAATAGTGTTAAACCTCATTCATTTCGTAAGTTTTTGTCACTGTCGTATGGCATAGATATCTATGTACGACGATGTCCTTTTGCGTATTTTGAGTATTTTTATCAGTTTTCATTTTATAGTTTGATTACTTCTGCTCTGTGTCTGCAGCTATAACTAGGTTATAAAAAGCAATAACCACAGACTTTAGGCAGTGCATCAAACGGAGTTAAATTATGGATAAAACTTTCGACACGTTAACAATGGCATTCCTTTTTAAGTAACGGCCTTTCAACGCATACTAGAAACCAAGATGCTTACAACTTTTCTATTTCCTTCCGGATTATTATTACTTCCGCCGAAAAAAACATTCAGGTAGAACCGAATACTTGTCATAAGTGATTATAAGTTTCTTTTTCGAATCTGCATGTTTCGTGTGAACAGTGGAGTGGTTCCTCAGGTTCGAATGATTAGATATTTTGTATATTTAGAAAGAGGATTCTTCCTTAATTAACGTCAGGGTGACTAAAGAGGCATGAAAGTCCTGAAAATCTCGACTTGGGTGGTTATGAGAAGACTGAAGACATCTTAGTGATCTCAAAACATTGTGACTCAGGTACTTATTTACTTCCTTATTTTTCGTAGCCGCTGTATTTCTTATCATCCAATGTTGGACTTTGAAGGGTTCATGTATTTAGATTATAAACTTGAGCTCCAACTACTCTGCCCCAGGATCTGAATAAAAAAACTACCACATTAACTAGCCTGACTTTTGCCAAATGTAAAACGAGTGGTAGAGACCAACTATGAGGACTATTTCACCAACAGTTTAAAACCTCACTCATTTGTGCGTAATTTTGTGTCATTTTCGCACGATAAGCACAAGCATGTGGGAGGTTATCTTCATCAACCGAAGTCTAGAATTCCCGTCTTTTTTGTCTAGTCTCACCACATGGTGAGTCAATATGTTTTTCGGCTTCGAGGACTGCTTGATGAATTTCCATTCCCAAATATCAGAGTTTGTGTTTTCCGGCACACCTCCCACAATGATATTTTTCCGCGAATAAACGTCTCGCGAGATTCCTTGAGAATGCTTCTGATGAGGTTGCGTCCAGAATACAGTATCTTCCCTTTCTTATATATTCTTATATTCCCGTTTTATCTCAGTAAGTGACTATCCGGTAAGATATCCTCTACGTTGGTAGAGTTGTTGAGCGTTACTCGAAGTAGTCTTGGGCAATTTCGATACTTTGAGTCCTTTCTCCGAGTAAGCCGTGTGACTTTTAGGTACTCTATTTTCGGAAACTACAGCTTCCTGTTCAACTCCTCTCAGAGCATCTTGCAGACTGAGGAGAAGGTCAGAGCTGCATTTAAGGTTCGCGTTTATGAAAAAGCCTTTCCAAACTGTGATCGCTTTTCCAGGTTTTCGGGTACGTTCATGTTGAGGACCTCTTTGTTTGGTAGCTGGAGCGCGTTTCATGTTTCCTGTGCTTCTTGATGACTGATTGAACAGAATTAGGAGTAGGATGTACGGCCCAACCATCCGTTTATTCCACTACAACACCTAGAATGTTCTGCTTTTTAGACGGTGAACCGTTTACAGCCAAACTATCTCCTCATTATAATAGTTATCTTTAAAATCGATGGCCGAGAAGAAATGACTTAAGTAAGGAATAGCATAAAAGGTTGTTAATTTGTATTTAAATAATTGAATTCATAATTATATACAGCAGTTATAAACAGTTTAATTATAACTGGACAGAATAGACACAACTAGACCGGAAAAGTAGTGTAACTGGATTGACATCAAGTATAGACCTCCTTGTAATTGGGTTGGGTTTATACTGAGACTAGCTCTTAGGATCACTAGGTTTTGTATTAGAATTAAATAAAACTGGGAACAGAATAACCAGCATCCTTAATGTAGTAAAATAAATCCAGGAATGCTTTAGACTAGTCTTATCTGCACTGCATTGAAATGAATTCAAACTGTCCAGGGTGTAGCGATAAACAAATTCCCAAAATTATTAGCTCTATAGATCTTCGATATTGAATGCCTACCGCAGTAGATTTAATTTACTCACTTGGCGTAAGGCAGTCGGTCATGCATCCACACTAGATCATGAGTGGATATGCCGTGCCTCACGTCTCCTACAACCGCTAATAAATTTAGGTTGATCACTTCATGATACTCTATCAAGTATGCCTTCGAAACATTTTTCGCTTCTGATTTCCTATTTCACTAGGTTGACACATTTTGATTATAAGAGGTGTCACTTTTTAAGGTGTCGTCAAACTCCGAATACTTGTGATACCCTTAGGAGTATCGACTGGACAGTGTATCTCAGGTATTGATAGATCTACATAGTAGTAGAACACGATCGACAGACAGAAAAATAGATGACAAGACAACCAAATAAACGAGTATCACGAGGATTCGCATGTAAGGGACTCAAATTGTTCATACAGCTGAACATTGCACCAATGTATTTGACGATCATAGTCATACTCTAAATCCAATGTACGGTTATGTTCATTTAACATGTCCATATTAAATACTATACTTCTTCACTAACTTCGAATATAAGAGTTTTGGTCTTTTGAGGTCGAAGCTTGTCACGTCAGATTCTCTTCTTTTTAACGATAGAGGTTTGAAACTGTGTGTTAGATTACAATAAGGATTAACATAGGTTATGTGGCATTATTCACAGTACCTATAAGTACAGTTTCCTGACGCGTTCACAAGCCATTTCAATGGGGCATTCGGACGTGACTTCTCAATCTACTGAGAACTCTGCTAGTACGATTTCTGACATATTCAATGTCCCCGCCTGAATATCATACCCCAAAGAACGCATGGTTTTTAAACGCCATATTTAAATCAAAACTGACACTATATGGTCACTCTTACGAACTGGCCGTGCATTTGAGATGTGATATGTCTCCCTTATACTGAGATAATATAAGGCCTTTCAACTGCGCTTCTAAGTCTGAGACGTAGGTCCTTGCTTTTTTCACATGACAAGCAA